TTGCTGCTGCCAGCCCATCTGCTGTAGGACCACCTGCTGCAGGACCACCTGCTGCCACCCCAGCTGCTATGGCTCCAGCTGCTGCAGCCCCTGCTGTGGTGGCTCCAGTGGCTGTGGAAGTTCCAGTGGCTGTGGCTCCTGCTGCCATCCTTGCTGCTACCCTTGCTGCTGCCGCCCCATCTGCTGTAGGACCACCTGCTGCCCCCCCAATTACTGTGGCTCCTGTTGATGCGCCCTATGTGCTGACAGTCTGTGCTGCCGGCCCCCTTGCTCTCAGCCATTCCAGGAGGTACATGTCAGCTCCTGCAGGCCCTCCTGCTGCAGCCCCAGAAGCTGCCAGAACCTCTGCTGCACATCCCAGTGCTGCCCTCACCTGCTGGGCTTCCAGCTGCTGCTCCCTGTTTGTCTCCAGACCACTGATGGTACCAGTCTGCTCTAGTGGTTTCTGCTGCTAAGATCTGACCTCATCTCTGTTCTTCAACCAGTGTCCTCCAAGGCCTCCATCTCTCAGCCCCCACAGGATGCAATAACAGGACACTCCCCTCCCCCACTGCCTGCTCAGTCTCTGACCAATGTCAGCCTCCCTCTACTCTCATCTTACCCCTTTGGATAGTATTGCTCTCTGACATGCTGTCTCATGTGGACATAGACCTGCATCTTCAATAAATATGCAACACCCATAATGGCCTCCTGTCTGTTTCTTTTTTCCCTTTTGAATTGCTGTGCTACTCTGACTTTACATGTATATTTTTTTGGGGGGAGGGGGGAGCACATGTATCAAGATTTAAAAACTATCACAGACCATCTCAGATGACCCTACTCCACTCCATGAGCATTTGTCATCCTAATATCTGAAGATGGTTGGAAAGCAAGCCCCTGGACCTCCCTGCCTGAGGGCTTTGTGTGAATGGAGAGCGACATCTGGGCAAGAGGGTTTAAGGGTCCAGGAGCAGAGCTCACCCAGTGACTGGGAGTGGGTGCACAGAAGCTCCAGCTCAGTGTTGCCCAGGTGGTCCTTCCAGTCCTCATAGATCCTCTGTGGGACTGGACCTCCTATGACCCCAGTGCTGTGCTGCTCATTGTCTCTGCCTTCTTTCTGCCCTGAATCAATTACCAGATTCCCTACAGTGCTCCCTGTGATCATTTCCCAATGTTCTACGTCCTACATCATTTCTATCTGGATATTTTTAAAGCAAACAAAACGAGGACTCCTCCTATTCTCAGTGTGGTGTCCTAACACAACCTTTCAAACATGGAAGGCCTCTATCTTGTCAGGTCAATCTTAGCTTGACCCTGTATTATACTGAGAAATCTTTTTAACAAATGGTTATTTCCTACCAATCTCTTCACAGGTTCCTGAAGATAACACTGGATATATCACTCTATTACAGGACCTTAGGGACAGGGGACAATACCAGGTGGGCAGCCCTCATCTTTGATGTCCTCCAGCCCTGGCTCTGAGTGATGGGCCTCAGTGCTTGTTGGCTTTGGCTGGGGGTTGTCCTCAGCTCTTCCCCTAATGCATCCCTGTCACACTGCAGCTAAATTCATCTCAGCTAGTGATAGAAGTACAGCCTGTAAAATAAGGCTTGTCACCTACAGGAAAATCTCAGTCTTTGTGTTGGGAGCTGCCACATAGGAACCGAGCCTTGAGCGATGAGAATGTGGAGATGTGGCAAGGCACATGGGCTGTGTGTGGACGATGAGCATTGAGCACACAGGGTGGACTGAACCCACGTTGTCCCCCATTTTGGTCGGCCTCGCTCTGATCTTTTGATTGCTCTGCCATGATCCCCACACAGCTCATGAGATGGGCATGGCCTCCCTAGATGTCAGTCAATCAGCTGACAGCAGACAACAGGAATCTAGACTCAACCTCCCGAAACTTGACCCTTTGCCTCATTTGGATGGCTTCTCCCCAATAAAAGGGTTCAGGATGTGCTCCTCTCTCTCTTTCCACAGACCCCTAAGGTCAGAGGAGCCGTCACAGTTCCCAAAGAAAAAGGTATTTCTCTGTCTCTATGTGATTATTTCATGCAGCCCAGTTCACCTGGGGTGACCTTGAGTGTTTAGTCATGGGATGTGTCACTATTGGTTAGAAGGAAATTCTCAAAGGCGAGGCAATTACATGAACTTCTTTATTACTACTCCCTTTATATTAAAAAAAAATAAAATAACAGAGTCAATGCACTTACAACAGGCAGCTTTATATCCAGTCACCATCAAGTGGCACTATATCTGTGGGTCTGCTGCGGTTGCTGTGTGGCAAAGGCAAGAAGCTTGTCATAGAGCAAACTGCCCCCATCACCACCTAGAAAAACACAGAAAGAGCTGGTTTCCCCCAATTCCATTGGAAGGTCCATAACATTGCCCAATTCAGTCACTCTTGGAGGCCATCCTTGACCATCAGTATGAGAGGCACTATTCCTATGTGAGGCACAGTAACTATGAACATCCAGGATGTAGAAAAAGGTGGGGCCACCTGTCGGCTGCTCCTCCCAGCTACTGAAGAGTATTGAGCCATGCAATAGAAATATAAAAGACGTATACTGTGAATCTATTTATATAAAATGCAAAAGCCTGTATACTAAAGTGTACAGTTTAGAAATATATATGTAGGTAGACAAAGTACACAGAAAAACAATGATGAGATATTTTCAAAATCAGTACAATGATTCTCCTTGGGTTAGTGAGGGAGATGACATCAAGAAAAGACAAGCAAGAGTCATGGTGATGCCAACTTCCTCTTCTTAGAGTTGTGCTGGGGGCATGTAAATATTAGCCTGGTAATTATTTATGACCATATACCTATCTATATATCTCTATCTCTATCTATCTATCTATATATATGCATATATACATAAAAGTGTACAAGATATATATATATTTGTGTACAAGATATGTATATTTATATAGTTTGTATGCACATATTTTTATTTTGATATAGAGTCTCAGTATCACGTTCAGGCTGACGTCACACTTTGATCCCATTTCCTCAGCCTTCTCAGCGTATGACATTGCAGGCATTGCCTTTGGGACCAAGAAGAAAGTGTTCTTAAGAAGTCGGTGGAACTGAAATATTCCTACAAACATTAAAACAACAATTTTAGATAAGAAATGAATTAAGATACGTCAGGACAAATAATCAATCAATGCTAGGTGGACATTTTTATTACTTAAAATATTGCTCTGATTACATGTACCACTTCATGTAAAACATGGTAATACTGATTAATACACATTCTTAGATATTCGAAAGCAACTGGATATTCATTGTTAAGCACCTAAGTTGAATGAAAAGTACATTAATTTTCCTATTGACCTACATGGTTATTGTAGGAGTTTCCATTTAGAGCATGATTCTGATTGAGAATATAAACTGATAAGGTGTCTCCCTAAAGCTGCTGTGTTGAGATAGAATTGTTCACAAGTGAAATAATCAGATTGTGAGGACTGAAACCAAAGGAGTCCATCCTAGTTTCAAATGAATGAGTGATAACTGTAGGCAGCTGGATCATGGCTGGGGGAGATGGTTCAGAGGGGTGGCCCAGAAGGTGCCTCTTCCCTGTAGCTCCTTACATCTCTTCCTTTCTGGCTGCAAGTAACACAGCAAAGTAAGGCATGTTCAGCATGCACTTCTGCCATGTGTTCTGCATATCTTGGGGCCACAAAATCCAAGCTATGGCATCTGCTCAACATGTACTGAACATCTGGTATCATAAACCAACATGAATCTTTCCTCATTAAGGTATAATTGTCATGTATTTTGGTCCCACTGGTGAAAGGCTTTTAACACATATGTAACCATTATGAAGCTATTACTAACAAACTGTGATTCAAATGATCACAGTACATAGTAACTTTGGAAACAATACCTAGGTTGTATAAATTTGAAACCTGTTTTTCATTTACATCATATAGAGACATCTGAAAACAAATTTGGTTTTGCATGCCATTCTCTAACGAATATACTAGCATGAGGTGTCCAGACTGCTCACATATATAACCTAATTCCTAGGTGGAGCTTGCAAATGTCAATTGTGTCTACCTCATTCAAATTTCTTGAGTGTTACATTATCTGGATTATGTATTTGAAATAAAAAGAAAACTGTTTAGAGAGAAAACATTACACTCTGTTTATGACTCCTTCTCATAAAAGAAATGAACTTCTTGTAGACCATCAGTAATCTCTGAATATGATCCAGACAGTATTTAACCATTAGGTTTCACCAGACCTCAGGTAGAGTTCAGCAAGGAGTGCACAGAGTGATGTCGCTCTTGTGTTGAGTTTCCTTCTTCACAGTGCAGGGCACTGTCTACAGTGACTTCCCTTTGTGCTTGGTGCCCTAGTGGTCCATGCTCATCCATGTGAGCATGTTGGTTTGGCATAAGAATTATCTAAAATCCTAAAGAGGAATATGTAATTTTTAAGTCCCCATTGCTCAAACTTAGTGTTCCAATATCAGCATCAGTAACTCTATTACTTAGAAGCCATCAATTAAAACTTATTGATTTTGGTGACTTTTTGCTTAACTAAAATTGACACCAATGCATGTAATGGGGACAATTTAATGAGGAGGGTCTCAAGTTTGCATCCTACAAGGATAAACTGAGGAACATGAAAAACTTGTGATGTCCAGACCCTTCCACAGAGCAATTTAATCAAAATTGTTCTGGGCAGGAGCCAGCCATTGGCAGTCTGGAACACTCCCCAGGTCACTCCTGTTGTAGCCTACTGGAGATCCACTGGTGCCAGGGCTCTCATATTCACTGGCCCATGATGGTAATGCACTCTGGCTTTTATAGCTGTGCAAAAGAGTACTGTCATAGCTCCTAAACTTATACTAAATTATTTCTTCTAGAAATGAAAAAGCCAAACTTTGATTTCTTTTTTGTGCACTTTGTCTTTCTTGTGCAAGAAACCCAGTGAACTATCTCCATGCTCAGAAAGCATATTTATTTACCTACGTCATATTCTCCAGTTTTACCAACACATGCCTTAAAAATATGACCCAGTAAAATAGGTGTTTGCCACACAAGCTAACATGACAAAAATAGGTCCAGGGGCTTATTCTTTAAAGGACTGAACTGAGACATTAAAGACACATCAGGATGCCATCACAGAGATACGCCTAGTCTCTGTGATTCATTTTCTTGCCCTCCCGGGACCCACTTATGGGTAATAGTGTTCCTCATTGTTAAGAACAAGAGTCACCTGGCCATTAGCAATGACAGTTCTATCCTTTTTGGGCTTTGACTTCATTTCCCTAGGAATATATGTCATCTGGTATCCTGGAGACACCTGTTTCCTTTTCTGCCTTCTTTCTGTGTGTTTGTTCAACAATAAGACCTAATCATTAAAATCGGATCAATGACCTCAATTAAAACAAAAGAGAGTGCAGTTTATCTAGAGAGTTCAGTGACACCAGGGTACACCAAGGTGGCAGGTTATGGGTGGTATAAGGGGCAGGTTCCCTCAAGCATCATATGTGGATGGACAAGGGTGTTCAGGAAACCCAAGACATGAGTCAATATGGCCTGACCCAACCACAAAGACAGGAAGCCAGAAGCAGAAGGAAACAATTCTCAAGCAGGTGGAGTGTTGAGGATCTGAACTTCTTGGTGATGCTTTTATCTCTGCAGCCACATCTCCTCATAGGACTCTCTAAATACCATGCTGGCAATATGTTGCTGAATCAAATCATCCAAAGTTCACTGTGTGTTTGCACTCACTAAAGGTCTGTTTCTCTGGTTAGGAGCTCCACAGCAGAGGGAATGCTTCAGTGGAGAATGGGGAAGTGTGCTAATGCCCTTTCTGTTCTCAGCCAAGGGTCTCTGTTGCGTTTTCAAACCTTCCTTGCTCACCATATGCATAATGAAGGAGCCAGGAGATGAAAATACAGCTTTTTACCTGTGGGTCCCCAGAAAGAAATGAGGGACACAGAAGTGGATCTTTACCAAGGGCAGACATGACTTACTGCCCACACTGCCTCTGATGCCCACCAGACAGAGGCAGAATGTCACATGACACCCTCTCTGTGAGGAGGGAGAGCTAAAAAGACCCCTGAGAGATGACTCAGGAAGACCTGACCAATGACACCTAACACAGCAGGGAAGGGAAGTCATGTTTCCAATCAACCTGAACATTTAAACAAAACTAAACAGGCCTAATTTGATAATTGCC